TTTTTTATGTCTGCAGTAATTTAGGTTTTAGTTTATTTTAAGTAATTTTTTCAGCATTTTGTCGTATTATATTAGCTTTTACTGTAGCTGCTACTAAAACAAGATTGGCTATCATTTATCCAAATTTTATAAATCGGTGGCAATAAATATGTAAATATTCTACCCATTTTGAGCTTATTTTAAATTTTGCTAATTTTATTTGTCTTTTACAGAGGACATGATGTAAATCCTGTATTCCGGATAATGAAATCTATCTCTAGTGACCCAGCCCTGACCAGACTCCTTAATGGACTATAGTGTCAGCAGTTTGTACAGTGAACACATAGATCATTGCTGGAGCCTTGAGCTTCACCTTCGCCACAGTAGAATAAATGTTCCTCTGCCTCGCAGAGAGCAAATCCAATGAGAGGAGAGGTATTTTGTCCAACTCCTTACTCCAGGTGGTAACAGAAATCTTCCCCTTCAACCGTAAATGTGTACAAATCCCATTCCCAGCAAATTTCATACACATCCATAATATACATCGAGGATTGAAATCGATTTAGCTCCGACACAATAGAGACTTAAGAGGTCAAAGAATATTAGTTAGTCAGCAGGTCACCCTTTAACATCCACCATAAGCTCAGACTCGTGAGTAGGAATGGTCGATGGCTCGTCACATTGTAATGAAACAAAAATAAATTTAAAAAAATATTAATTTCCAAATTGAGTTTTCCACTTAGAAATATAAAGAGGTTAAACAGTGAAACACATCAAAGCCTTAAGTGTATTACTCCATCACTGATTCAGGCTTTTCTTAAATTTCTAAAATCTAGTGACTGAGCAGTTTTTTAAGCTGAATGTTTTTCTTTGTTTGTTTGTTTTTGTTGATGAATAGAGAAGTATATATAAAAAAGGGGGACTTAGAAAAATCACATTTTCACTGCTTTCAGGTGAAAAACCAACCAACGCCAGAAGATAATTTGAACTGACATCACAGTTAAAGGGAAAAAAGATAAACTGATCTTTTTTTTTTTTTTTTTTTTTTAGTGCTGAGAGGAATCAAATAGAGGATGATTATAATGTACTGAGTAGATAGACGTGACCCCCGATGAGGCCTTTATATTCACACCGCCAACACCTGTTCTCTCCTGAGTTCTACCTTTCATTTCATATTAGAAACTTAGCCGGAGGATGACGTGTGATCCGGGCAGAGAGACTCTGGAGAAAATAAGAGTTTTTTGTCTTTTTGTGAAAAATTCATCATTTGCTTTGGTAAAAATGTGACAAAGTGGTGACAAGCAGTGTGGGGGTTTTTGGACATCTTTTGTCCTTTTCATATTTTTGTACATTTTGTACATTTGTGGTTGTCAGAACTGGGAAAGGATCAAAATGGAAAAAATTTAAATGGATCAAAAATCGACCTTCTGATCACCTCGACTGTTCTTTCTTAATATCCTGCTGGTCAGATGGTGTAGTGAATATTCCTTTAAACTTCCATCCTAAAATTTAATTTAATTTTTTTTTCTTTAATTTCACCTTTATTTTTACTTCAGCCAGGGCCAGCATTCTAAAGTGAAACAGTACAATTTTTGCTTTTCTTTTCAACACTCCCCAACACCCTGGCAGGATCCACTGTCCTGGATCCTGAGAGGTTTACCTCAGTTTTGTGGGCAAATGGCCACATATATCGGTATTGGTTGATATCGGAATTGGAAATTAAGTGTTTGGGCAATATCGGCACATTGGATATCGACATAAACTTAATATCGGACATCCCTACTTTCTTTCATTTGCCTAATATCATTCAACTTTACTTCTCTCCCTCACTCGTTCTCTTATATCTCACAATATGTGGACACCGACTGACACGAGCGTCAACAACCATGAACTACGTCAGTCATCAGCGACTATATGAACTTACACAGTGCATTATGCCTGCTTATTTAGTCGAAAACGTGTCTTTGCAGTGTTCTGACCCATTGGCTTAGCAAACATGAGGCCAGATGGTCTGAGACCCGACCTCAGGTTAAACAACTGTAACCTGAAGCTTACAGGGGTGATGGAGGAGTTCTCCGGGTTAAATGGCATAATTGTCCTACAAATTACAAGACGTTGGTTCACATATCTTAATTAACAGGCGTGTTTGTCTTCTCTCCTAAACCCATAAAAGCCCCACAGGCTGTCATTATAGATCATAGTACACCTGTTTCTCTCCGATTACTCATAATTGCAGTCTTACTGCTGCCATATCAGTGTTTGTTCGTTTGTGCGTGTGGACCTGTTTAAATGTCACCGTGAAGTCAGTAAAGTAATCACTCCTGGTTTAAAATACTTTTCACTGGGTAATTCACTAAAATGAATAAATAATAAAAATAATATATATATCTGTTATATGTTTATATCAGCCTAGTGCTGTGTTTGAGTTAATAAGTGGATTATTCTGTGTTGTTAGTCAATTACAACTCAATTACAACTCAATTCAAATGGCTGCGACAGGTCTACATTCTGTTTTTATTTTATTTACACTATTTATTCTAGGTTGTGCAACGTTTGCACATCCCCATGTGACAAATAAAAATGAATGAAATTAATTGAATCTTTAATTAAGGGAAAAACATTGCTGTCATTTAAATATTGTAAATTAGTTCTTGCAACAACAACAAAAAAATGGAATATCTGGGGGTTGACCTCACTTTTCAAAAGTTTTAATTGAAAACTTTATTGACTTAATTGATCACTACTTTGTGTCAGGGCTTAAAAACAGCAGAGAAGCAGGACTTTATTTAGTTTTATAAATGCATTGTTGTACTTGGTATATTATATTTAAAGCTGTAGTTTGCATAATAATATTTAAACCTTTTCTCAACATGTTAACAGAAGAACTTAGCAGTATTTTTTTTAATTGTAGTGTGTTAATGCTATGATGATCAATACTTCTAGCTCCATATTAAAATGTTAAAATTGCTTGAGAAGAAGAATCATGGAAATAAATAAATACAATTAAATTATATACATTATTTAAAAAATGCACAGTTAATTTCACTAGCATTCACTTTTAATCCCATTAACCTTGTGTTGTGTGTTTGTCCCCCACATGCAGGTGAGGTCAAGTTATTACCTTCCTTATTCCAAGGGCATTCCAATGTCAATAAACCCAATGGCAGCAAAATAAAATGGTATATTTGTGGCTACTGCACAGCAGTGTTTTCTTCTTTGCCTTCTTTAAGACCCCTGGATGTTGAATGCAAAGGCCATTGGAGCAGAAGAAACACCGTGTCCACCAGCCATAATGTTTTTTGTGTTTTGTTTTTTTTTTTTATTTTCCATCAAGGCTCTCTTGACTCCTTTAGCCCCTGAACACAGAGACATAAGCGGGAAATTTGTTCCTGCAACACACATCAGCCATGAAATTGAACTTCTATGCATGTCAATATGTGCAGGTATGAGGGTGAACCCTGGTACACGGGGGTCCGACGTGTCCCTGATGACACCTCACATCTGTTTCTAAAGTGATAAAGCAGGAGGAGGCGTTCAAATGACCCAGACGATCCTTAACTTCCTTGTATTTATCATCACCTCTCGCTTATTTTCAATATCTCACCATTCCCTCAAGGTAAATTCAAAGGAAACAGAATAATTGTTTCTTGTAACAGGCACCCAAGAGGAGCTTAAGAAGATGTAACAGGCAATACATTCAAATACTGACTTTTACAAAGTGAAGGTGATAATGTCCGAGGAGTTGTTGTTTTAATTATTATCGTGTTTGACGTCTATCACTAACGTTAATTACATTTTTACCCAGTGACCCCTTCTCATTGTCGCACGGTAACAACAATGAACACCAGGCCACTTATGACCATGCTAGAAAGGCTAATTCAATAGCTTGGAGCGCTACGGCTAATTATTCCACTTTTGCACTTTTATGTTAGTATGTTACAGTAGGAGGGACACAGCAACACATACAGGCCTGGCATATGTACTGCAGGAATTTGAGTCGTAGTAAGTGGCTCCAATTAACCACAGAAACGTTTCTGTTTGTTTTACTGTGACGTGCTAAAAACACTTAACGCTAATTGTAATTAATGAATTAACTGATTCATTCGGTTTGTCTCTACGGCCGCGCTTGACAACTTTGCAACTTACTAAAATTCTGATCATTTTCATGTAAAACACATTACAGTGCTTTTGTGTGAAAATATTTAATGCACACATAATCTGATTTTTTTTTTCGTTAAACGTTGTACATTTCCAGTATAAAGCAATCATGGTGCTTTGAACTGCAGTTCAAGTTTCTGTTCAACCTTTATCCATCAACACACTCTTCTGCTCCAGTGCTTTTAGTCTGCCACACATCTGTCACAGCCATTCGCTCTCAGCGCCACGGTTGTTGTAACGATCCTCTTACTGTGACACTTGTCGTCTCACAAACACAGTCACGGAGAAAAAAAAGAAAGGAACTAAACAGGTCTGGTCTTGTTCTTTTGAACATCATGCCATGAGAGACATCAGGAGGTAAAAGGACAGTCCAAATATTTTATTGAAAGCACATCACATTTTATGCTGTCTTTTATTTGTATTTGAAAACTACCCTCACATAAAATTTCAAATGTATTTAATATCTACTCGCTACATAAAATGTTTCACACTCACAGCTTCACACAAATACTGTAGGGTTTTTACCTGTTCTGATGTGAAGGTATTAAAAACATTATGTCATGAAAGGAAGTTAGAAACATCAATGCACATTCATCGTTCTTCGTCCTGTTAAGCATTAGCTTTGGCGTTTGTGTCATTAAATAAATTAAGACCAACTATACACTCCCTGCACCAGATAATCTGAAAAATAAATGATTAAAAACTTAATTAATTAATTATTCATATTTGATAAAGATAATAATTTGATAATTTTGTTTTTAGAAAAATAAAATTAACATTTGAAATAAATGTTATAGTTTGTTCCAGTATTTCACCTTTGACAAGTTTTGTGTGTGCATGTGTTTTGTTTGTTTGGTTTTTAAACATGCAGCCCTTTATGATAATCAAATTATTAGTTAATTTTTAGTTATTAGATTTCTGAGAAAGTAATCAGAGGTAATAAATGTCTATCTACTGACCTCTTTTGGTGGGAATTGAACATTACAAGAGCCTTGGCTCAACAAAAAGATTCGAAAAAACATGAAGGATGTTCCTGAAATCTCTGTTCATAATTTTTCCAATATTGCCCGGGGTAAGATTATGGAAACTAAATAGTATGCTGTGTGTTTAAATTCTATGGTAAATATATTAATTATGGGGAAATGTGCTATTTACCATGGCTAAATAATGAGAAGGACACAGTCAAGTGACAAGAACTACATTATTGACTGGTTCATCTACAAAAAAATAGAAAAATAATTCTGTTTAAAAATTAGACCGTGCAAAAGTTGCATATGTCACAGTTCATAGAAAACACTAAAGGTTTCTATAGTTACTTGTGGAAACACATGTTAAACTATATTTTGTTTTGTTTTGTTTTGTTCTATTCTACCAGCACTTGCAGCGCTACTTCCGGTGACCCATTGAAATAACAGGGATCCTTGTTTTTCACACTACAATATATTGTATCTATCTATGTGAATATGAATTAATGAAATACACAGCGGTGTTTCCCCTTTAAAAATAAAGCGACGTAACGTGACGCGCATGCTTTCGCCCATTTACCCTTGTGGTTCTCCTCGCGCGGCAATCATCTACAGACACCTACCGCATCATCTCGGAGCGGAGTGATCCACTATCACGCCGTATCACGGCTCCTCAGGGCTGCAGGGAGGCCGGGGGATACGAGGAGCACAACGACGGCGATGGAGACAGAGGAGGAGTGACAGCGGCGCAGAGGAGCGGGCACAGGTGAGTGACGACAGCTGCGGAACTGTCATTTTGCTGTAGATGTCGAGCCTGTGCAGCGGCGACGTGGAGAATGGTGTGTTCTCGCGCGTCCACAATAATGCAGCCTCGTTGCGGTGTCACGGTGCGGGGAACGTGCTTTTTCTTCCTGCAGACACTGGCTTGTTTTGGTGCAGATGATGGTGTTTATGTCGTGTTGTGGAAACACAAAATAGCACGCGGGTACTGGTCATGTTGTGATGTGCATGATTGTTGTGTGTTTAGTGCTTCACGGTGGAAACACTGCGGTTTGCTTTAGTCTGGTCCGGTTTGGTTTGGTTTGGTTTAGATTGGATTGGATTCAGACGCAGGAGAAACATCTCGCTGTGTCTCCAAGTCAGTGACATCCATGTTTTGGAAACAGCAGAGTCGTGACGCTCTGCCTGACGCAGCAGTTTGACCTTGCAGTATTTCTGTTCTTCAGGGAGGATTGGGACAGGGTTGCCAGGTCTGTGTGCCAAAAAGCGGCACCACACCTGAAGTATGAAGTGTGTACGTAACTATCAGCAAACATTGTTAGTGAACTAAGTATCTTTGTAAATTGTTTGCTTTTTGTTTAGTTTTGTTTTTTAAACCTATAGAGTGATAAATCTTTTTTTTTTTCTCTTGTTTTTGGGTTACTCTTCTGTCTCTTTAGTGTTTTGGTTATGGTTTTCAAGTTACGTTTGTTCTGGGTTTTTTTACCTGCATGATTTTTGTTTTGCTTTGTCATTGTAGATTTTTGTCTTTCAAGTCCACGTTCCACAGATTTTGTCCTTTGTTTCTGTGTCACTTTGAAGTTCTGTTTTTGTGGTAGTTTAAAATCTGTGAGGTTTTCATTCTTTGTTTCTCTGAAATTGTTTTACTATTTTATCCGTTGTCGTTTTATGTCCTTTTTTGTCTATTATTATTGACAGTTTACTCCACCGTGCTCATCACCCTTGAAGATTAGATTAGATTAGTTTAAACTTTATTGATTCCACAATGGGGAAATTGTTGTATTGCAGCAATAATGTTACAGAGGTAAAAGACTGTACTATAAAAAGAAGATCATCCAATGGCAGCTCAGTGTCTACTCACAGTGCCCACAAGTGATGGACTCAGCGTCACCATGGTGAACTGGCAGTTGTCTGCACAGCTTGGTGTGTGATCAGATGGAGGGGACGTGTCTTATTCTGATATATCTGATATTCTGATAGCATCGCTATGGTTTTATCCTCCATGGAAGGCAGCGAACGCATCACCTTAAATATTTGTTGTTTGCACTGCACTGAAGTAGAGCAGGTGAAGCTAACGCCTCAGTGGATGAAGGAGAAAAAGGAAACACAGAAGGGCAAATGTGCATTATGATCTTTAAAAAGGCTTCAAAAATTAACAGTTTGAGGTTTGTCTGGACAAAGTGACCATCAGTGTTATGGACATTATTCCAATCAATTTTTTGAAATTGGCAAATCTTTTTTTTGTAAAACAAGTTTTCTTCCTGATGTTAAAGATGTAGAGGTTAAAAAAAACGATGTCATGTACCAACTTTTATGATACATCTTTTGATCTTCTTGTACCTTAACAATAATCTTTATATGTTTTTTACGAGGGACATGCACTGGCAACCCTGTGTGATGTGCCTGCTGTAACCTTATGAGATTACTATGTTCCTATTTTTAGCTCTTATTTATGGGTGGTCTTCACAGGCTAATGCAAAGAGAAAAGATAGTGTGTGTGTCTATGTGTGTGTGTCTCTCTGCGTGTGTGTGTGTGTGTGTACAGCTTAAAGTGATTGTGAATATTGATTTCCTGTTTTTTTCAACACTCATCTCTTTTGCCTTAAAGAATATTTCACTCAAACCCTTGGCACTGCAGTGTTTTTATTTTTACTCTTGCTGCCTGGTTCACTAATGAAACTGGATATTTTCAGACCATGGCCTAATTGTATGCCGACATCAGCTTTAATCTGGGCCAATTACAGACTCTTAATTTATCTTATGTCTAGACCACCGGTGTCAAACTTATTTCACAGTGGGCCAAAATTAAAAACTAGGATGAAGTTGCGGGCTAAACATAGTATTTATTGAAAGATTGACTGCAATTGTGTATGTTTTCTATTCTTCAGATATTTTTTTTCATATGGAAACAAGTTTTGCATAACTCATAGCCATTAATGCAATGGTACTAATAACAGGCCTAATGATTCGTTTTGGTTTTTGACCTTGGTTTCCTCATTTTCAGTTTTCGGTCACAGCCAATAATTTTAATTACGCTGCATTACTACTTAATATTATAAACACATGAGAAATTAAATTTGAAATAAAATGCTGAAAATCTGAATATTTCACAATATCACCAAAAACAAGTAAGACTATAGTCTTTATATCATGAAATAATGCATAAAAATCTTTGTCTTTGAGTTTGCTGGTTTTGGCTCGGAGACTCCGCAGTCTCCTACCTGATGGCAGTAGGCTGAAGAGGCTGTAAGCTGGGTGGGAGGGATCGCCTGCAATCTTGATAGACTTGTTGGTAAGGCGGATGTTGTAGATGTCCTGAAGAGAGGGGAGACAGACACCGGTGATCCTCTCAGCTCCTCTCACAATGCGTTGTAGGGTCTTGCGGTAAGACATAGTGCAGGCATCATACCACACAGTGATGCAGTTAGTCAGGATGGTCTCGATGGTTCCCCTATAGAAGGTCTGCATGATGGGTGCCGGTGCTCTTGCTCTTCTAAGTTTGCGGTGGAAGTATAGACACTGTTTGGCTGTTTTGGCCAGTGATGTGGTGTTAATTGTCCAGGAGAGGTCTTCAGAGATGTGCACTCCCAGGAACTTGGTGCTGTTCACCCTATCCACTGCGGCACCATCGATGTTAAGGGGGGTGTGCTGGGTGTGCTTCCTCCTGAAGTCCACAACAATCTCCTTTGTCTTCTTCACTTTCAGGCAGAGATTGTTGTTTTTACACCACAAGGCCAGGCGGCTAACCTCACTCCTGTACCTTGTCTCATCACTGTTGCTGATGAGACCTACCACAGTCGTGTCGTCCACGAACTTAATAAAGAGGTTGGAGCTGAATGTTGGTGTGCAGTCGTGGGTCAGCAGAGTAAAGGAGAGGGGGCTCAGCACACATCCTTTGGGGGCCCCTGTGTTTAGTGTGATGGTGTGCAAGGTGTTTCTGCCAACCCGAACTACCTGTGGTCTTCCTGTCAGGCCGGTAAGGAGTTCCAGCAGCCAGTTGGGGATGATTGTGTTGAATGCTGAGCTGAAGTCTATGAACAGCATTCTGACTTAAGAGTCTTGTGTCTCTAGGTGGGTGATGGCTGAGTGAGGGATGAACTTGTGCATGTAGGCGGTTACAGTCTCTGTATACTCCTGGAGGTCAGTGATGTTGTTGTTAGTGGCTGCCTGTCTGAACATGCTCCAGTCTGTGGTGGAGAAACAGTCCTGGAGTGCCTCTGACAACCCCTCTGGACACACCCGTACCTTTCTTTACTGGTGTGGTTGTTTTGACCAGTGGTCTGTATGCCGGTATTAGCATAACAGTGGTGTGGTCTGATAGTATTTTATATTCATATAAAATACTTTTTGGAGTTTTAAACACAAAAGAATCACTTGGCAGCATGTTTTAGGGCCTAGTCTTGCATTTTAAGGCATTTCAGAACTTTTTATTTTTATGGATATTTTCACGATGGTAAGGCTATATATAGTAAGGCATGTTTTGGGTGATTTTTCAAATATTCATATAAAATACTTTTTGGAGGTTTAAACACAAAAGAATCACTTGGCAGCATGTTTTAGGACCTAGTCTTACAGTATACCTTCCACATAAAGCTCTATCTCTGCCCCCCCTAGGTGGGGCAGAGATAGAGCTTTGTAGGCACCTTTCTGTGGAGTGTATACATTGTCAAGAATATTGTTAGGTGCGGGAAAGTTGATATGTCCATTCAATCCAGCGCCTCACTCCTGTTGTTGTTAGAGCTAGAGGGAATGTATATGGCTACGAGCAGTAGCACTAAATTCCTGAGGAAAGTAGAATGGCCGGCACTTAAGAATCATGAACTCCACAAATCGAGAGCAGTATTTACAGACCACAACAGTATCACGACACCAGTTGTCGATTATGTAAACACAGAGACCCCCGCCGCAAGCCTTACCTTCCTCGTCTATGATTATGTCCTAAAGCATGCTGCCA